TGTAAGTATGCAATAGGAAATAACATACTCCTCTATTTTAAATTTTACCTCAGGTGACTTTTTTTTAAAAATTCTGTATTACTATAAAGAAAGCAAAAAATGCTATTAGAATTGTGACAAAAACGTGGATTTAATGTCAAATTAAATCAAAATATCTTGAAATTTTTACTAGTGAAATCAGAAATTGTTAAGTTGTTTAGTATTGTTGTTTAGTTTCTTTATCCTTACTCTTTTGTTGACAGTGTCAGTGGTATCTGTTTGATTTTGTTTTTCCAATTTTTGTTTATTTTATGGTCTTTGTTTGTACAGCATGGACTTTCCTGATCGTGATATTCGAGATATTACTAGGTATAGTGTATAGATGACTTTGTTTGGTTTACCCATTCCAATCTACAAGCCTTTTCTCCTCATTTGTGATAATTCCCATCACAGTTGCTTTTGGGAATTGTTTAGTCAGTTAGTTTGCAAGATGGCAAACCACTTTGGTGTTTGCTTTCAAAGACTTACTTTGAAAAACTGCATGTTACCTTTGTCTTGTATGATAATAATGGTATGATCTACCTTGTGAGCTAGCATATGGAACTGCGCCATCAAGTCTAGATTGAGCAAAAATCAAAGTGTTTTGTAAAGTTGTTTTGCTGTCTTGCTAACTGACTTTCATAATCGATGTAACACCCCTGCAGTTAATATCATTCCTTTCTGTTCCAGCAAGATTACTCACCATATTGAAGGTTGTTATTAGCTACAAAGCTAGGTGGTCTTCACAAACTAATAGATAATTTATGGGTTTCAAATCTGCATGATATGTTGTTTGATTACATTAGTAATGCTGCAGGTTTGTTCAAAGTTTGTGCATGATGTGCACCATTTATCCAAAGCTACTGCACCTTTCCAGAAGTTCATGGTACGAATGTTGAAGTTTACCTGTTGTCAACCAACTACAAACAAGGATGACAAAATGGGAGAAAGTAATCGAACAAAATTGCAAGTTGACACAGAAACTCACAAATGGTCTATTCGATAAACTTAATCCAGTGCTTGAACTTCACGTAGGCATCAAAGGCAATTGCTTTAATGCCCAAGGAGTTCACTTTTATGCCCTTCGAAAAAATACTGATTGTTTAGTCCCATTTCGTGATCAAATCATAAATGGTCGACTGGCAGCCATCTTGTTTTTTGAAAATTAAACATGATGCTTGTTCATGAAGATTTATTTTGCGATCAGATACAAAATGGCAGACTGGAATTGTATTTTAAAATGTATTGTTAACATCACTGTGTGATTAACAATGACTTGTTCTCTACTGTTTATAAACACATTTTATCAAATTTTGTTTTGAAAATATGTGCATCTCAACTCAAGTTTCAACCCTGCTAATCACATGATCACTATCTGCATTGTTATTGGATGACTAGCTGGTCAGGTGATTAGGATCATCAAATGAAGGCCACTTAGTATGAACATTTAATATCAAGAGATTACTGAAGGCATATCCATATTTTGTGTGTGATTAAAGCCTATATTGATGTATCATATAATGATGAATTTACTGTAACTTTACTAATATACAATGATTTGTGTTATGTGATTTGTTTCTTTTAATAAACAGGTGTCAAATCCTACAAATCTCATCTCTCAAGTACTATCTTGAAAAGTTTATAACCCTGTGTCCTAGCCACCCAGCACCAAACCAATAATACTACTATAAAAATGCAACTAAACCTAATAATTGTATATGTTCATACTATAACACCGTATATTTAATGTTTTATGTTTGGATGTCTAGACTTGAAGCTGAACGTGAACGACTAGAGGAAGAGGAAAGGCGGCGTGCTGAAGAAGAAGAAAATCGTCGCCGAAGAATTGAAGATGGTGAAGAAAGTGAAGGTAAATTTGAAGAAAAAAATCTTTTCAGATCATCTCTTCCTTGTTCTCTGCAGAATTCACCAAGCAGTTACACAGCACCTACTGAACATCATTGAATGTAACATTAACAATGTCTATACAGTCATTCGTATAATGTTATGTGTACCTTGTAATGTTCATGGTTGTAATCCTCCAACCTCTGTAAAACTGTGTTAGCCTCCACATTTGTATGACACACAAAACCACACCCACTATTTTTTACCCAGTGAATGAATGGGCCATAGATAAATTGTATATTTCTCCCCACCCACAAATATCCCACATTTTGTGTCTAGTCACATCCCTTGTTTCAACAAGCACACTCCCAAGTATCGTGGTGCATGTTATTCTTTGCATGTTATTGTTTTAATTATTATTACCAGTAGTTGTGCATGTAGCTCCTGTATCTTATCTGATGAAATCAGTTGTATTCTAATGTCAATGTGAATATTATTACATGTACGTTCCTACCCACAGTAGGAAAATAAGCAACTTCACATGCATCATTCCAATTACTTTCAAATTAATTTCCACTGATTTCATGTTTGGTTTCGCTGGTTTTCACATTTGTACATATGTCTAATCACCTTGTTTGTGATTTTCAACATTCCAATCATAAGTGGGTTGAGAGCGAAAGTAATTTTGTTCCATTGTTATTGCATCACAACTGATTTTAATCATATTAAACGCATGTATATATACTGTATCCCATGTTACTTATACCTGGTACTTGCAGCCCACTGTTACCCAATAATAACGTATCACAACCCATTGTTATCCTATATATGTATCCCCATAGGGCATGTCACTGTTACCCGTTTTCTGTATTTGCATGCCTTTCCCATTAAATCCCCTGGTAACTAACTGCATGCTATCTGCTTGGGTTTATTATTCTACTAAAGGTGAAGGAGGCAAAGAGGAGGGTGAGGGAGAAGGAGAACACTCTGAAGGTAATGCTAAAATCCTAAACAACTGAACTTGCCATTAAAAGTGTAAATTTGGTTATAACCCCCCCCCCCCCCCCCCATCCATGCTATCCATAACATAGTGGTGCAATCGGTGCAATAAAAGCAGTATTCCTATAATCTTTTATCATCTTTGCAGTTGTTATATTACTGTTGTTGTGTTTTGTATACATGTATGTTGTATATTGTATTGCAAATATACCTGCAGCTATATTTATTCACAACCATTATCATTCAGAGAACTTTTTATCTGCACACTGTAAATATCCTGACACTTTGCACTCGGTGAACTCTTCTCACTCATCATTGTCATACATGTACAGTGTGATGAGCTACAAAAAAAATCAGAGCTGCACTATCCTCTATAATTCAAATTCAAGCTATTATCTAGATGCTATATTCTCATAATTTCATCCTATGTGAATTTATGTAGTTCTGTTCCCCACTTGGCTCCTTATGTACATTCACAGTACAGCCTTTTCTGTAACTAACAACAAAATTAATGGGCACAATCAACAGGTCAACAGCACCACTGATGTATGCATCCTTGCACATATGAACAATTCAAACAAGCTTAATACTATGATCACTAATATTTAACTGACCACTGCATACTCAATATCATACTATTGATATCACTTGATTAATATAAAAACATACCTTGCACAAAATCAGCAAAAAATATAAGTAGATTTAGTATACAAAATTTCACTTTCCCATCATGTGTTCATTAATTCCATGCCCTTCTCCAAAGCACTACATTGAAGTGTTTGTTACCTAATGTTGTTGTTAATTGTGTCTTCACAGTTGTTTGTTTATTTGTTGCATTCATTTCTGATTTCACTGACTCTCTTCATTGTTCTACATCATTGACACACACGCATACATATATATAAGCAATAACTTCATCAGTGACAAATCAATGTGATTGTACCAGCTGCAAATTCATTGGTTTGGTTTATTTGATTTGACGCATGGTCATGGATCATTGTTAGTGGTCTTTATGCTAAATTGGAATGTATAGCATATAGTGTGAACAATCTTCATCAATTCAATGTAAATATTATCATATAATCTAAAAAGTCAATCAGATGAAATATTGCTTATTTTATACTAAAATCTTCTGTCATTGTCATGAAATTCAATAGCAGTTAACCACAATTACTCTATACTCACTATATAAGTACCTGATAATATAAATCCATATTTCAAACCAATACATCTCTGATGTATATGTATATGTAGCCTAGGGTTTCTGCAAAAGTCTTAAATGTCTTAAATAGGCTTTATCCCAGCTTTGTTAATTTTAAGGACTTGAAAAACTATGTGAAATCTTTCAGCAAGGTTTTAAAAAGGTCTGAAAAAATAAAAATAATTTCCACTGACTTGACAATCTGAATTCAGTTGTGCTAAATTCTTGACAGTGTATCTATACTTTAGGCCAAAACTCAATTTAATTATGATGTTAGGTGTGTTTTGCAATGAATATTATGATTGCCTATTTAAAGAACATGATTTGTGTGTTTGTCACCTGATGAAAGCCTGCACATATAATCAAAATTAAAAAGGAAAAAATGGCATTGACACACAATGTGTATAATTTATAATATTTAATTCATTGAAGTTAACCTTTGTCACCTTTCACAAAATAAACCAGCATACCAGTAGTTGTTTTTTCAATGCATTTAATCAAGGCCTGTATCCAGTGTGTAATTATGCCTGTTTAGTTCAAAATTAACAAAGAAATCAATGAAAAAAATACTTTGAAATATGCAAACTGTTAGGCAAAAATGATAGTATTCAAACTGAATTTAGACTTTGACAGAAGGTAGTTTATTTTCACAAACTCACACACACATACTAACTCATTACATTGACTTTAATTTATTTCTGTGTGTGCTGATCATTCTCTTCTCTTCATTTACTCACTTCTGAATTAAGCTACCCTTCCTACTGCAGCAGATGAACCCAGTATTGCTCCAACTGAATCTCCACATACTGTCAAAGGTATTCGATTATTATACAAATACACAAATAGGTGTATAGACTCCGAGATGACTTTAAATATTATATGTATAATATAGTCAATAGTGGTAGCTGTTATAGAAGTAGCTTGCACTTAACTGTTTCATTATTAGCACCATGCATATATATAATATTATGTAGAATCATAACCAGTCCATTACGTTCATGTTTAAATTCCAGATGACGCATTGTATAATTATTGAATATTCATTTTATTTATTATTCTATGTTCGAACTGGTGCTCCTCTACAACTGCATTTTTGTCAATCTGATTCTGCAAAAATTATGATAAATTGTTCACATTTACACTATTTTTCTGCCAAAAATATAATGACTATTAATCTGTTAAGTGTTTAGAGTTTGATATCTGATAAATTCATCTCATTTGTTGAAATTTGATAAAGTTTCTTCTTTAGACACCTGATAAATTGTGTTAAATGTTTAAATTTTTATAAATGATTACAAAAATGCAAGTTTTAAGAAGTACTAGTCGTTCTTTCTCTTTCTTTCTCTATCTCAGCACATTGGTTCCCATTTATATGTCTGAAATTACCTGCATTTCTGTAAATGTTGAATCAACAAGTGGTTTACTTTTTGAACAATGATACAAACTTTAAACCATGCATATGAAATATATGTCAATTTGATTAATTTGCACAAATTTGAATTTGACCTGTAAATCTTAATTACAAGATTGTTTCAATTTAGAAACAAATGCATACAGAGACGACGTATAAAAAGACTGTAAACTGTTGATTTCTTGAGGAACAAATTTAATAAGTCTGTGCGAACCATAACATTCTGTAGTGGGGAACATTTCATTTTTTAGAACAAAGAGTTACAGCGTCTTTCATGAAATGTTGTCCAACAAAAGCCCTTACTGTGGGAGCAAAATAACCTGATTAGAAAAATCTCTTCTTTGTTTTCTATGCAACATTGCAATATTCCTTGGTACATTGTCTTCAGTGTATGTTTTAACCCTGACCGTTTCAATTACAACAATTTGACACCCCTGAACATTTTCACAGGGATTATGTATAACTAGAGTGAAGTAAAAAGTGAGTGGATGAAACTATTTTTAATATGGATTTATGAATTTGGTTTCAGATTTTGAGTGAATTACATGAAATGTAAAAATTCTCAATTTTTCCACCCTACCTTTGGACACTGCCAATTATTATTTGAATACAAACGAGTAATTTCATTTCAAATTTAGTGAGACTTCAGTATGCAAATACTTGACTATTCAAAGCCAGGAACAGATATGGCTGGAATTGTTCCTAGGAATATTACAATTCTACAAAGAAGATTGAAATCGAGATAGCAGTTTTTCTGACCAGCTTATTCTGACACCAGCCGTAAAATGATCAAATAGTAAACTCTGTATTACTTGCAGCTTATATTTCCATCATTATTGACTGCTCTAATGCTTTATATATTTTCCTGATCTATCCCTTTCTGCATACCACTCATTCCCTGCTTTGCTGTTGCTGTCATCATTATTCTGACATTGTGTTGGTGATACCAATAGATTCCGAGACAGATGCCGACGGCAAAAAGTCAGACGCCGAGGATGAAGGTGAGAAGGAAGCTGTTAATGAGGCAGTTGCCGATCTCGTGTCTAAAGAGGAGGGTGGCCAAGGGGGTGCCGCACCCACTGAGGGGACATCACCTGATGAAGGTGGTGATGAGGGTAATGGTGAAGGTAGGGTGACAATTGGACATAATTATCAAAAATAGCTTCATCAACTGTCATCATCCTAACCATGCCGGGGCTGCCTTTACTCATATCACACTAATTGTTATAGTTAGAATTCTAAACATTGTGTAAGGGTGTAACTTATTGGTGTTTTCATTGTTAGCGTTTAATCGTAAATTATACACCACTAAATTCTATAAGTTTATGTCTGTATGTAATTTCTTCTGCCAGACAGGTTTTTAATTGGTAGGTGCCGCTCTTGATTTGGCATTCAACATGTCTTGACAACACCTCCCTCCCCATCAAATGGATTCCTTGTAAGCCAGCTACTTAAAAACCTGTCTGTTATCAATTCTATAAATCTCCAATCATGTCAATTGTACATATCATTATGTAAATTATTATCATTCTGTTGAATTTGTGTAGGTGTATAGTTAATGGATTTGTTCCGGTAAGGTAAAGGCCACCCAGTAAAGTTGACAACTATGAGTATTTGCACATAGATCGTATGGTTTGCATGATGAAATGTAATCATGCCTTGGTGTTGGATTGTGTGATGCATTGTGATTTAATCTTTGTTAAAAGTAGCATGATGTTTTGCATGAATAACCTGACTAGCATTTTGATTTTATGTTGATTAACACTGTTTATAGTTTGAATATTGTTCAATTTACAACGTTTCTTGAGCTTTATTTCCAAGTACTGTTAAAGCACTTGTACAGACTATACACAACCATCAGTGACCTGTATGTATAACCTAACTATTGGTCCTTGTTACTTTCAAAAGGCAAAACAGAAGGCAGCAGTGAAACAACTGTAGATATCCCACTGCAGGAGGAAGATCTTCTACCACCGGATGGACCAGAAACGCAACAGTTTAAAGAACAACGTCAACAGTTTGACGTTGAGTGGCCGAGTATTACTGGTCTGATCACCGGTACATCATCTCTTGAACCAATTATTGTGGATTTATTGGAAGAGAGAGAGGAAGGAAAACCCCCTGCAGTCAGGCAAGAGGAGGACATTCTCAGAGACTCCACTGTTGCCATTGAAAGTGAGTGTCTTTTATACCTACTTGTTGTATTGTTCTGTTTTTAGTCCATTTCAAGCACTTCCTGAAAAGGGAGTACCGGTATAGTTTCTTATTTCCGGTTTCCATTTTCTCAAAATTCTGCAGCAGATATCGATGAAACTTGGCAGGCTGATGAACAAGTCTCTATTGAATATGCACATAATAATTTTTTTTTTCCAGATCTGAAAATCCTAAGTGGGTCTTTTTCACGATTTTCATCATAAATTACCTCTCCCAACAACACTGAGAGAACAACTGAGCATGCTCAGAATAAATAATTAGGTTAGATGGTAATGCTAAGGTTTTCAGTGATGTTATGACCTCGATCTGATTCAGTGACAGAAGTGGACCACAGTCTGTTTTTTGTTTAGTTTTATATCTTTAAATTGTAAACATTGCATTCCATTATAAATAGCCATCACTGAAATTTGAAGATCAGTGAAAACACTTACTGTTTATAAATCTTGGCCAGGCACATTGACACATGTGGTCTACATATAGCTTCAGTTGTCAGGGCTAGTGGATAAATGGGTCATACCGTTACAAATCTCAGTGAAAACTGTAGAGGGGGGGGGGGGGCTACATTTTGATGGGAATTATAGTAGTGATACTGAAACAAATCCTGAATTAACAAAGAAGTCAAGTTGTTATTAAAGGTGCATCAAGGTTTACACAGAATTATGAATGCATTTTCTTGAGCATGTATGAGACATAGTTTGGTTGCACTTATGTACTCTGAGATTTTGGACATGGGTCAATAGAAGTTTTCAGTTATCAGTACAATACTAGATTAAGGGAAATCACTTTATGATGAGTTGTACCCACATAGAGTACATACTAATTCAACTGTTTGCAGATGTTCCATGTATTGTTTTAACATGAATATTTTCCAATTAAATGATGGGGACTGTGTCATTCATGTCTTGTTTAGTTATAGAAGGTGGTTCTCACTTTGTTATATCTGTTATGACCATAAACCTTTTGAGAGCCACATACTTTTCTCATCCAAAATTAATATTTTGTAAAAGTTTCAAATATTGCTTTTAGTTTTTGATTAAAGGGTTTGTCAATTTTTATCAACATTTCATGTGGGGAGGAGCAGACTGTACAACATCAGTTTGTAGATGATACCAAAAGTTGACAGTAGTGCTCAAATGGTTAAAAAGTCATACATGTACTGGTAGGTGTACTGTTGGTGCCGTTTGTCAATATAAATAACTTATTTCTGGATTTTCTATTATTTTTAGGAATTTTTTTTAGTTTACTGACATTTCTCATACTAAATAGGACGCACTTTTGTTTAACACATGTACATATAATGTATTTTAGTTGTTGGCAAGAACCACATGTTCAACAATTGTACTCAATTAGTTTATGTGAACTTTCCATCTGGAAATCAATAATCATATTGTGATGACTTGTGGCTATGACATTTAGTTTAGTCATTTGCATAACGATATTGATACATTGTATGGAACATCTTGTGAGTGTTTATACTCAGTTCCAGGCTTAGCAGTTGAGCAATACACATCTTAGTTACAAGTGCTCTTCTCCAGTGCATTATTCTTCTCCCAGATTCGGTGGCCAATACTCAGTTCACTCTACCTTGAGAAGTCTGTTCTCAGTTTACACATATGATATAGCTATTTATTATAAGAAAACATGACACAGTATTATAAGCATGCCAAGGTTTATTTTAGCTGATTTCCTGATAATTGTTGAATTGTAGGACCCTATACTTACCAACCTTGGGAGTATACAAGTATTGATGTCGATGAGGAAGAAGAGGATGCTGAACATGATGAGGAAGAAGATATAGAAGAGGATGAGGTAACTTTGACATTTGATTTATCTTTTAAAACAAATAATTCATATTCAATATGTATTCCTTAGAATGGCTGTGTGCACCAATTCTCAGTCTCTGGAAGTACATATACATGTACCTAGTGGAATGGAGTGGAATAAAATAATGAAATGTAATGAATAGAGGATTTGGTTTTTATTTTGTAGACTCCACTTTTGCATCATAATTCTTGTAATTCATGTAAAGTTAATGACATGTAAACTACATATTCAAATGCATTTGTATATAGTATGTTTAGTGTAATTTAGTGTAATTATAATTTGTTAAATTAATTGTAATTCTAACTGTTATATATTATACAATTACATGTAATTCCAATCAATCCTACCCTACCCTACATTTGTACATGTGTCTGTGTGTATCTAATTCTCTATCTTTTATGTATAGGATGAAGAAGTGGCTCGCAATAAGAAGAAGCAATTTGGTGACACTAAACATTTCTGTCCAGTGGCATTGAAAGATAACAATGTACTATGGCCAGGTAACTCAGACACTGCAGCCAGATACAGAGAGAAATTATATTTCTTCTCCAGTAGTGAAGCCAGGGATAAGTTTCTTATGGACCCAGTGCCGTATGTTGCCAAGAATAAACCCTTGAAGGTAAGTAATTGCTGCGGTTAATATTTGTAAACTCTGCATTCTTCAACAGTGTTCAGACACATTAAATATAGTGTTTATTATGTATTATGTTATTGCATTTGTTGCATCTGCATCTACATGTATGAAACTGTTCCTTGCATTGATTTAGCTACAAAATATGATTGAAAAATGTAAAGTATCCCTACATTATGTTCCTTAAAGTATTGTAGAGTATTTTAACAAACATATGTATCAATTCAGATGCTTTTGACCAAATTGAAAATGACTGTAATTTTCTTTATACATTTAAAAGGGGCCCCACTGATTGAGTCACAAAGAATGAATGAATATTGTGCAGTCACAAGGCAATTTTTTGAAAAACAAGCATTTGGTTTTCATGGTGGAAATGTTTTTCTAATTTCTAGAAATATTACTATGATCTGAACAAGTCCCACAATTGTATTACTGACATGGTTTAGTGTTGAAAAAATAATATTTTTAGCATTATATCCAATGGAAATCCGTCTCTCATATTGCAATGCTATTTGCTCAGTAACATGCTTTTATAGTAAATAAATACATTTGACTGTCTCTTAATATGATATATGACGTTTTTCTGCTTGGTTCTTTTGTAGCCACCACCAATCCGCTTACTCATACTTGGTCCCAGGGGAGCTGGGAAGACTGTGCATGGCCGGCATTTAGCACAGAAGTTAGGACTGTTCCATATAGCTTTCAAAGAACGTCTGCAGGAGCTTATCATCGCTAAAACAAAGAAAAAAATTGGACCAGAGTTTGAAGAAGATGAGGAGGAAGAGGAAGAAGATAGCGATACTGAGGATGCTGAAGGTGAGAGAAGATCCCCCTATTTGATAATGGTATATTCCTTGAAGCAGTTACACATTCTGAATGTATTCATTATTAATATAGTGTTTCTCACTGTAGGCAGCATCTACTTCAATGTGTTTTTTCAGTGTACTTTTTCCTTTTATCGCTGACTCATGCACCTAGATCTCTAGTTTGATAGCATACTGATACTAACATTACTAGCAGATATGCAGTGTTTAAATTTCATTCTGAGATCTAGCAACTATTCCCCCTTAATTTTTTTTTGACATGTCATGCAAGACTTTATTTTCCATTCCATCAAACATGAATTAAAATTAACTTCAGTAAAAGTTAACAGAGCAGAACTGTACCTATTAGGTCCATTGCAGTCTGTTTGTCAACAATTCTATTTTAGACTTCTTCTTGTAAAATACTCAGTACCATCTCAATTGCTTTGATAATTGTTATGTACATACCTTGAGTGAACTTTTGTCAGATTTGTTCATTTTGTAACAATATTTTCAATTGCCATTTTGTCATTTTTGTCATGGTAAAAAGTAGTATTTTCAACTTGTTCTTCAAAAGTACCAGCTACTATGGTTGTTATATGGCAAGAGCATAATAATAACCGTAGCGAATATTTAATATTTCATCATACATAACATTATCAAGTTTGTTTTTAGAGAGACACTCTACAAAGACAGCGGAGCTATTTCAACCTTTAAGTCACTCTTACATCTAAATTTTATCAGGTGTTGACTTTCAAAATATTAAATTGTGTACTATGTTTCAGCAACAAGGTAATTTTCTGCAATGCACAAGTGATTTAATATGTGTATGTTTCAGAACTTTACATTGAATTGTTGTTTGAACATTACAGGTAAAGAAGAAGCAGGTGAGGGTGCGGAAGCCAAGGAAGGAGACACTCCTGAAGGAGAAGGAGGAGATAAGGTAAATTAACATTTCAATGAGAAACAATGTACATTAAAACAGAATTCACAGTTGTGATCACAATATATATATATATATATATCAATATATACCCGATAGTTGCAACGATGTATAGTCACTACAAGCTATAACATATCCTGAGATAAAGTTAGGGTTTGTCCAATTTTGAAGTCATACAGGTCACATTTGCGTATATACATAATAGACCCAAGATTGTAGAATGTTGATACCTACTGAGACTCTGATTTTGACTCTTTGACATGGGGGGGGGGGGGGGGTAAGAGAAGAGCTATATTTCTGCTGCAATCAAGAACAAGTATATGTGTTATCACAATCAATGGCTGCTCACGATGTGCTTGCACGAAAGCTGTAATTCTTATACTGAAAAAAAGTAATTATTGGGTATGGATGTACCATTTTTGAATGTAATTAGAAGATCAAAATCAATATGTGTTGACTTAATATCTTGTTTCCTTTTTCTGTAGGAGGAACCAGAAGTAGAACTAACTGAAGATGAAGAAGCCATCAAATCAAATTTGCTAGATGATGAGCCTCTACCCCCTGAAGTGTTGGATACCATCGTACCTGAGTGGTGGAACAAAGAACCGTTCAAGTATGTCTTTTCTTTGATTCACACATTAGTATAATAATTCTGATTTTCCAGTGATTCATTACAAATATGTTACATGTGTTTTGATTGGTTGTTCAGGTGTTTGATGTTTGTGGCCAATAAGAAGGTCATTTTCAATGTATTAAATTGTGGATGGCATATTTTGGTGATTTTGGATGCAGACCTTGAATGGTCATGTTGCTGTGGACTTTTTTTGCCTGTATGCCTGTATGCATTGCCTGTTTGCATGCATGACATTTTTTAACTGTTTGAATTTTGCTAAATAGTGTATTTCATTCCTCCCATAAAGTAGCAGACATGTGACTTAGGGGGTATTTGCATAAACGTATTGCAGTATTATATTTATACAAAAAACAATAACATGGTACACATATAATTGAAAATATTAAATACACTTTGGATTTGTGATACCATTGTTGTTTTCACCCATATCCAGATCACAAGGCTTTGTACTGGAAGGTTTTCCACGTACAGCTGATGAGGCACAGTACTTAGGACAAATGGGTCTGTTTCCTGATGCTGCCTTAATGATGATAGTCGAGGACACAGACATCTCAGATAGACTGTTACCTCCCAAGCTGTCCAAGTGGAAAGCCAAGCGAGATAAAAGGCTGGCTAAGAAAGAGAAGAAGAAGCAAAAGAAACAGAAGGAGCGAGATGAGGCGATGAAAAAGCGTAGAGAAGAAATTTTAGCTGAGGTTGAACAACGTAAAGCAGAGAGACTGGTATGTTTTTTTAGTTTTATAATCAATTTCAATTGATCTGTAACACAGCCAAGTTTTCTACTTCAGTTTATCATTTTGTTACAACAAATATGTTCTGAAATATGCCATCTAGACTGTGTGGTGTGCTATGCAATGCAATTGGAAGTCTCCATGCTCTAGTCTGAAGACTTTTTATAAAGTTTCATTGCCACTGTAATCATAACCTTGCTTGATTTTTAAGGTGAATTCGCCATTTTCTGTAAACATGTTTATAGTCTCTACAAACAAGATTACAAATTCATTTTTATTTGATGGTCGACCAACCACAGAACAGTATTTCATACCATACCCCTACAAGCTCCAGGTCAATATCATGCTTTTTTGATGCACTTCTTACACCAGTGAAAATATTCAAATATCGGTTGACCCCTGGATAAATTTATCCTGAGTCTCATTCATGAATTTGAGGTGAAAGAAACATAATCAGTATATGCCTGAGTAAATTGCAAATTACTAATACAAGTAATTGTTGTGTGCAGTACATTAAGTATTTTGTGGTAAAATAGTCTGCTATAGATAGGGTTCCTCGTCTTCAAATCAAAAATCATCGCTAGCTCTGTCTCGTCCAGCATACACTCAGCTTTCCTCCATCAACAACGAAAGTTAAGATGAACATAGTCATTAGCTACCCCAGCAGTTTGTGGGTAAAATACACAACTGTCACATCTCTGTTTCCATGAGGAGACTAAAAACACTACATGAGTTAATGTTACACTGGCCCTGGGATGTGCTGGAGACATGAAGGAATATACAAAACTGTATAGTTCCTTATTATGATTACTTCCTTAACAGCCCGGCTTGTGGTATAAATAACAGGTGCATAAGAGTACATTGTATACGTTATGAGTAATGAGACGGCTCATGAGAGAGCCATCATGGGGACTGCCAAGTGGGTCTAAAAATATTAGCTAATGAAATCATGGCAAATTCTAGTACAATGATGAGTCACAAAAACAGTCATACTAGTTTTGGCGGAAGAGTTGTCTGGATGGAATACTCACTGCCTTGCAACACACCACACAGTCTAGTGGATACATGCCTGAATGTTTGTTGTTCTAATATAACTTATACATTGAAGCAATAACTTGGCTGTGTCACAGCTAGATGGAAATCGATTATGATCTGCTTGTATAATACTGGATGCTTTTCATTTTAATGTGAAAATATTGCATGAAGTGACATACTAGATTTAATTCTGATGGTGTCTGATAAAGTGATGCATATCATTAAAAGCATGTCTTGACAGTGTTATAACCAGCATGTGAGAGTATAGGGCTCATACCCTGCACTACATGGCAATCTTCTGTTTGATTACTACACACACATACATATACATGCTATGTGATTAGACTGTCTACTGTAAAGTACTTTATTCTTCACTTAGAATTTTGTAATTTTTGCTGAAGGGATGATTCAGTGAAAATAATATGCAATAAAATATCTTCTTTCCTATATTTTACTTTCAACTCGTCAAATAACAGTGAAAATACACTTCATACAAAAAAGACAAATTGTCTTTTCAACAAAAATGAAGCTAAAAATAAAGCATTTTACAGTATTCTTGCTTTGTACGTGCTTACTCACTCACTGCCTCATCCCATCTTGCATTTTTACACTCTTACATAATTGCTGCTTCCATTCATTGCTTTAGTTACATAATTCCACTCTGAGACAGCTCCAAATAGATCATTGTATGCGTACCTAGAATAAAATATTCTTTTGTGTAATAAGACAAACGAAAGCATGATGCTTCATCATTGGTTAGAAGTATACAACCAATAAACTTCCAATCACTGTTTACATTAATACATGTGTATGATCTGCTCAGAAAATGAGTACATGACCAGCTGACCACGCATACTTTCAATCACACAATCTTTACTATGTTTAATATTACATACTTCATCTTACATGTATCTTACATCTAATTCTTCTATCTACTTTTCTGTGCTTTGTAACTACATCATGATGTCATCATCTAGGCTGTAAAACGACACTATGGCTAAGGCAGCCAAGGTATGGTTAATGTCATGTATCTTTTCCTTGCTTGTTTCTGTATGTATTCTGTATACATGTACATGTATGTAAGTGGAATGAGTGTTGACTTGTTGGTGTTGATCCTACAGAGCTATTACATCCTATCATTGCATTCTTTATCTCTCAATGACCAGTGTGATCTTTGTAAATTAATTGTTACCACATCAGTATTTCATATAAAATTTAAATTTTATGGTTCTGTTGTCATAAATGACAGAAAAAATCTACCAATTACCAAGAGTAGTATAAGATTGAACATAAAAACTTTCACTTCTTAGAATGAACTTTTAATATAAATATATTTGCCAAATTCATAAAAATGTGTTTATCATTTGTTTTCAAAATGGAAATAACTTGAAGATTTTCACTATTTGTTTTAGCTGATTTTAAAAACTTAATGGTATTCTTGTCTAATTTATTATTATATACACTACATGTATGCATGAAGTCACATCTTCAATTTGGTTGTTCTTGCAGTAGAGACATTTTCTGTCTTCTAACTTCTGGCCCAATGTTTCTGTCTACTTTAATTCTAGCAGATACATGGATCTATTTAAGTGTGATTTGAGTGTATATGTCTAACTTTTATTATTATTTTAAAGCTGTATACCAGTTTACACTGTGCAACCCGACTTCATACTCACCCATATAACACTAAGTTATAGTGGTTATATGTACATGTATGTAACTTATAAGTTTAGTTTCTTAAATTGTTGTACTTCTATTGTAGGCTCAAAAGGCAGCAGATAAAGACAGTGATGAATCAGATGCTTCAGATAATGAAGATGACGATGATGAGGAGGAAGAAGATGTGGATGCTCTCTTAGCAGAAGAGTTTGAAGAGGAGGAAGAAGAAGAGAGGAGGATGAGGAGTTGGAGGAGGATGCGATAGATCGGTTAAAGAATGAAATTGGAGAAATGTATGATAATGATACGAATAATCTTGGAGCTGTACAGGTTAGTTCTGTTACAGAATTCTTTTTTTAAATTTGTGAAAAATGCAATAACTAATAAAAGTATGTATCATTAAATATTTACTAAGTTTATTTTCACTGAAGAGAGTGAAGTAGAATTATTTTGCACATGCTACACAATTATTATGAGTTAGAATGTGAATAAATTCTAGATTTGATTCATTCAAACCAAAGGTTATAATGATGTACTTCGAACAATTATTGCCTGAATGCTACATTATCTGGAGAGGTATGCGATTCCAATTGCCATTAGAATGAAAAAAAATAGTCACATGACTGGCTACAAAGTCAACATATTTCAGCATTCTCGAAAAATAGCATAAATAGGTTCTGTTTGCATGGACACCATCTGAAACCATCTTATGACTTATCTCCATGCGTGCATTTGTGCGTTCCCCTACCCCTGTATCTTGGACATGCTTTGGCTGATCACATTCAAACTTCACATACATCATATTTCCTGGGACACATATGCATGCCTATTCGTTTCTTGATCGGATTCAAGATGGCTGAGTGTTTTCAATCGTAGAAAAATTATTGAAATCAAGCATGATATTTTGATCACCAGCAGAAATGCTTCAAGTGTGTGGATTGATTTCGCGCAATCTTTTCACATACAGTAAATCACTGTGTCGCTCCTACATATACAAATGAGTTTGGTTTTGATTCTGTTTTTACAGGAAGTACTTGAAGAATTGATGATCCCACGTATAGAAGTGAATGGTGGACGCAAACCACATATCGTACGCTTCTCTATCAACCAGAGTGTCCGTCCAATTGTAGACTGTAGGCAGAGTTTACTGGAAAAAGTCTACCCTATCAGTGATAGATTGGCCAAGAAAATGTTGCAAGTGGGTTATAAACATCCAAGTCGATTCGGCAAGTGGTGTCCCGTGCAGGTAAGAATTTGTTACCTGCTAACTGAAATTTCAACAACATCTTTTTTCTCAAGATGAAAGTATTTCCTCATTCATGTCGTACATTATTATTGATATATATTATTAATATATGAATATTATATTTTATATGATTTCCATAATTTTTTCTGAATGATGAAAACTGGTTACTTTTAAAACTTGTTTTTTTTGCAGCTACTTAATGGTGAATGTATCCAGCCGATGCAAGGGCCTGGATTTTCCACGTACCCAGTGATTTACAGGCAGTATATCTATTTCCTTTCATCGATACAAGCAAGGGATAAATTCATTCAAGATCCCCTGTTTTACTTAAAACAGCCTTCACCCAAACCAGTAGTGCCTATACGAATGGCTATATTAGGGCCACCTAAGTCGGGCAAAACAACATGTGAGTATATCACTATTCCATATGGTTTTGTTTACATGTAGTTTTTTTCTCCACTTAAACTTGTGTTTTATGTTAACTTGATAATGTAGAAAGTAAATAAGGAAGTGGGGGACATACAGAATACACAAATTTCATTTCAGAATTTAACATCAATTTGAAATTTATTGCCATAAAAACATTCATTAAATCTGATGGAAAGCTATGTATTGTAAAGTCTTTATTTTAATAGCAGGATGTCAGTATTCAAGGATTATGCAGTATGATTAGCATACACATTGAACATGTGGTTTATTGCATTCAGAACACTTGGTTTTTTTTCCAGAGTCATATATTTCAAAACTGATCCCCCACAGTTTTAGAAAGCCATCAGCTCTTTGAGTTTAAAGGCAGACACTGTCAGGAATATGAAAACGATACGGTGGTACTCTTTTGTGCTGGTTTGAGCCTCAATGCATGTTAAATAACCTAATCTTTTTGTGGTAAATAGATTGTCTAGCATGAATAATATCTCTCTGTGAGTACATGCAGTGATGCTTATGGGGTGACCACTTCCACTTGTAATTTTTCTTTGAAATGTGAATAAAAAGTCAATATACCCAGCATTGTCCTTTCTGATCTTTGAAAATTCAAGTATGTACTACTGCTGCATTGTACATCGGCCTTACTGTTCAAATGTGTTCTATTTCAGTGGCAAACCGATTTGTGCATGAGTTTGGTATGGTGCGCCTATCAGTAGGAGAAGCATTA